CCCATTCAAGCCAGTTTCCTTTGGCAAACATCGACCGCATTCTGAACACACTTCGTCCTTTGGTGCAGGGCCGACGCGACCAACTCCTCGAGTTCGCCAGAACAATGGATCCAGAGGGACGTGGAAGCTTCGGTTTGGCCAGTTTCGAGGACTTTCTGTTGCGGATAATCGGCGACTTGGCGTCAGGCAAAGAGAGCCATAGGGAGGCGGGAGCAGAGAACAACAAACAAGACCTTCTCACCAAGCATGAGAAAATAACTCTGATTCGTCATTACGCAGAGCGGTGAGTTTATAAATCTCTGCGCTTGTTTATGGGCTATTTTAGACAGGAATTTCTGAAAAAGTTTCTTTGATTTTGTCGACATACTTTTAAAGTTTTTCAGCCTCCTTTAAATCTCTGCTTTTAATCAAACTGAGGTTATTTCAATAAAAAAAGTGTTTTGACAAATCGTGTTACCCAGCCCTCTTAATTGTCCAGCTTGTCAACCCGATTTTCGGATTTTTAACTTATTGACATAAAAGCCATGCTCATCTTTCATAAATCCCAGGTTCGCCTTCCCTCAATACAGTCCGCAGGCTTTTTGCAAAAAATGTCTTATCATCAGAACTGGGCTGACCTAGTTTTCGCAACTTGGTCGTGTTGCCATGGCGACAAAGTTTGACGCACATTTTGTGAAGTCCTGTGCTGTAGTAGTTACGCTAACGTTCAGCGTTGGACCGTGGACTTGGTACATTCTCACAAGTTTCGCTGGCGTTGTAGTCGGCATTGTCAGTGAGTCTTGACATTCTCAGCCCCAATCTCAGCTGCAATTCGTGAAAGCGACAAGTGAAGCCAATCCCTTGGCCAACTTGTCATCGAACGGTTGTGCTATTATTGCTCTTTCTGTCCTGGTACATCTGCCTACTCCAGCTCCTTCACAACTTCTGACCCAATTATATCCGACTCCTCGAGAGTTCTGCTCTTTATTGCAAAGTTGAGTGTGACGTCATCATACCTGCTGCCCTCTTCTCTTGTCTTCCATTCTTTATCAATTATCGTATCTTCTCTTCTTTCATAATTTATGTTTCTGCCGCAGATGTGGTTATTTGGTGTTGTTATTCTGAAGGTCGTTTTTACCTCGTTTCGATTCAAGCATCATCGTCTGCTGAGAATGAATGTGGAGGAAATGTGGTTTCATGGGACAGCCTCACATTGCGACAGAGTTGAGTTGACAATCTTTGTTCTACTCACTTTCATTTCCAGGAATTGTGTGTGAGGACGAGATTTTAGGCTCGAGCACACCAGAAGACGATGTTTGGTTCCTGTTGCCTTGACTGAGACCTTCGGGTAGACGCAATTTGACAGAAATCATCAGTTCAGGGTATCAATCTTACCACTAATTCATGTTACTGAGTCAAGAAAATTTGCCAACTCATCCCAACATGTTGTATATATGCTTTTTGTGAGTTGTAGATTGTTTGTATGTAATTGGAAATATGTGCTAATCTAGTTACATGTGCACATGTCAGCTCATGTTTGTGTAGAGGTAAGAGATCAGCAATACTGTATCAAAGTGTGATACACATGCCTCCAGTTATCAAGGATGAACAATCCTTTTTTTGACAATCCCTTTGTTTTCGTACTGCCGGGCGCAAGACTGGTTGAGTTTATGATATAGCTACTTATAAACGAAAAATGAGCTGATCAATTTTTGTGTGTGAAAACTTAGACGCATAGAACGTGTGACCGTGATTCGACTACACTGAGCCTTTACGAATGTAAAAAGCAAGTAAAGATACGTTGATACATTTCCACGACTCGTAAGCCTGAACTAACTGTTAGATTTTTCTTAAAAAGTTCGGCAATTTGTCGTACATAAGTTTTAATACTATCAGTAGTACTGTGAATATAAAGAAGATGGATTGCTTTATTCTCAAAATATACGTTTGTAGTGATCTTTACATGTTTAGTGTTTGTTGCATCCCATAAGTAGCCATGGCTCAGAGATCATGAAAAGAACGCGACCAATTTAAGCAGAATGTTAGCTACCTGGTGTACGCATGGGATGTAACAAAAACTGAACATTAAATGGGAAAATTGTGGAGATAGATGACTACACGTTTATGTTCATTAGATCTTGCATGAGAGCTTTAGTCAGCCCATTTCGCAAAGGGTGATGAAGGACTGATTGGCACGAGCAGCTTT